AATCATTTACATTCAGATTCCCCTTTCTTAAATGCCGTCACCAAAATAAGTTTGCCAATTTTGCTTTCTCTGTTAACATAAAAAGTATAAACGAGTTACACATTTTTGGCTCAGAATTTCTCGGTTTACAATAGTAAGCAGCGAATAGCAAATTTAACTCTCAATTTAAACAAATAAATGCAAAAGAGACGAAGTAACGTGGCTACCTCTTTAAAAGCAGCCATTAAGGAAATGCATCCGAGGCGAGAAAGGTGGACGAGTGTTGTCAATGCGTGTCCCAATATCTGCTCTCTACCACCATAAATGAGGCGTTGGGTGGCCACCTTCGTTCGTACTCTCGATGGTCGAACATTGTGTAGACGTTGTGAAGAGGAATGCCGAGCTTAAATGCTAGTAATCCAAGATACACATCTTCATGAATGTAATTGTATCGCGTGTAGGCTGATCCGATCGCCATGTCGTCGACAATATCAGCTCCTATTAGCTGGCAAAATCCGCGGGGATACGGACACATAATATTCCAGGGAATCTCTTGGAAAGCAAGGTACAGCTTACTCAGTGGAGATCGGAATGCACCATCGTTCCTTGCTATGCGACCCAACAGTGATGTCCTTTTTATGTGTCGCGGAACCGTGGCCAGGAAACGCATTAGCATTGAAACATTCACACGGTGGTCATCGTCAATTATCATAAACATGTCATTTTGTAGTTTGTCACAGAAAGCCGATAGCCAGCGTAGATTGGTTACTGTTTTCCATGTGAGATTGTAGTAAGTGTCCTCATAGTCTGCCAGAATTATATCGTCATATTTCCTTATCTCTTCCGCAATTTTCTGCATCACTTCGTTGCCTCTACCAGCGTATGCATCCATCATATCACCGACTGGCCCTCTCAATATGGTAGTGTAACCATTACGATTGAAAAGACGTCCTCCATGCTGTCGTGGCAGTCCGATGCTAAACGCAACCCCAATTTTGATGTTTGGATTTAGATCCCTCTGGTCATGCAGGCACTCTCAGGCGCTCCTTACACCTCCTCAGCCGGCTTAAAGGCAAGACAAAAATACGAAGTTTGGTTATTTTAGCAGTGAGGAAATAATGAGATCCTGATTAGTACGTGTTCTGTAAAACTGTACCTCTTTCCAACAACGTGAACCCTATTAATCATAACCATCGCTACTAGAAGGTGGACCTATTTAATGGACTGACACAGCAATTTAAAGCGGTATCTGGCAGCGGTGCAGCGGCGTCATTTGATGATAAAAATTGAAATGAAAAAGTCACAGCAACTCAGCTTCAGATGTTCATAGGCGTGCGCAAATTAAATGCAGCAATTGCTCTGCAGGTAGTATTTAGTGAAGGTGTAGTAGCGAGACCAGCAATAATAATAATGGGGAGCAGTATAAATCGCCCAAGTCCAACTCCACAGTCCACAAACCATGTATGCCCCATTGTCAGTATAAATATGCACAAGGGTACGAAAACTAACCGAAGACAGCTCATCAACCTGAAGCGCATGACTGGTTCTGCCATTTTTTCACATTTACCGTTCCAATTAAATAGCTTTGAGAGCCCCATTCACATAGGCTCATTTAAAACAAGCACAATTTCTAGGAGACGTGTGCAGTCCTGTGAATGTGTGATTGTGTGGGAGCAGCCATGAGAACGGGTGGTTGCAAACAACAAAATTTAAGCGGTCACTTGCTTGGCTCTCGACTCGACGCGCTGAGATGTTTGAAAGATACATTGTTCTATCGTTGAGTCTCCATTTAACCTCAGAATCCGGTGACCTCCGAATGCGTGGGGTGGGGCATCCACTAATGGTCAACGCTTGGTTAGTCGCGTCAGCCACCAAGTGATGATGGAGGGGTGAAGAAGGAGGAAGAGTAGAGAACTTTACCAACTGATTTGATGTGTGCAAAGCGTCTTCTTCTCACTTCCATATCCAGTATTAATAATTGTAATCCACCGTAATAAGATGACACATGTGTCCTTACCTGCAGTATGTAT